ATGGTGCATAGTGGTCTAGATTCAGTACAAACAACGCCATATTTGGCATGAACAAAAGATGTTTGTGCTGAATCTAGACCACAATAAAATGCAAACCGCAATTCCAGAAACGGCCTATGGCATACACGCATACATTAATTAACATCAAAAACCAAAAATGGCGACTTTTTATTACTGTTCATTTTCTATATCGGTAAGCGATGTTTAAATAAAAAATGTAGCACTGACTATTAAGATACGAGGAAGTTGAAAAGACTTGAAGTTGAYTCGGCAAAACTATCAATGGCTCCTTAAAGCCAAACACAAGAAAACAACATGGTTTACTTAGCAGTGAGCCGACTTTAGCCTAATATTTTRGCTTAGAAATCATGTACAAAAGAATTGCAGACTTGGTTCGAGGGAAGCAATGGATAATCTTAATGTTTCTTTTATTTCCACAGAGCCTCGTCCGCAATTCTTTTGTGCATTGCCGGATTTCAAACCGAGTGGGGACTGGGCAAAATCCCCTAATTGGATGATCACGAGATAAGACTTACATAGAATGCAAGCCCTTGTTGAGAAATGCAAAATTTCAAAATCTGGTGTCAATCATTTCAATAGTGAACGAGTTACGGCCTTTCAAATATTCTAAAATTTGCAAAGAAATGTATGGGAAGCCGCAAATGTGTCCGAATTTTGACCATTTTCCGGACACATTCACGGCTTTCCATACATTTCTTTGGAAAAATTATAATATTTGAAAGACCGTAACTCGCTCAATATTGGACTGATTTACATCAAATTTTGGAATTTTGCATTTCTCAACAAGGGCTTTCTTTCTATGTAAGTCTTATATGTCATGATTACCCAATTAGGGGAATTTGCCCAGTCCCCCACGGTTTGAAATCCGGCAATGAACCAAAATATCTAGAGTTGGCCATTTAGGAGTTGCATAGAGTGGTTTTCATCGAACTGTGAAACAATTACTATTAGTCAGTGTTCAATAGTAAAATGGTGGGAACTAGCGGTAAACTAGTGTTAGCTGCGTCGGTTTTTCTAAAGAAACAGTTGTGTAAATAGATAAATTTAACACCGTAAAAAAAGTGAAATAACTTACTGATGTTTCGGACGTTAATCCTTCGTCGGAGTAAAAGTGTTCAATAGTATCTAATAGTTGTATTCTAATAAAAGAAAGCAATGGGTGTAGAGTCTACTAGCGTCCATTAGCGTAGGAACTATTTCACTCTTTCACAGTCCGATGAAAATCACTCTTGACTAATAGTCTCTACTCAAGCCTAAAACACTTGCAACGAATACAAATATCCAGTAAGACTGAAAAGTTGAAACGCATCATTCACAACAAGCTGATTGGTCGGTTCCCCTAATCACGTGGTATTTTTGAACTACTGTACTTTTACAAGACATCCGCCGTCTTTTAATACTCTATCAATACCAAGATGCATTTCGCCATGAAAGTGATAATGCGTCATCAGGGTAAACGACCAATGAATCAAGCCTGCAGCTTGTAATCATCTCCAACATGACAGACATATCAATGTACACTGCGTATTAGAGTGTCTACTGAAGATAGTCATTTTAGTGGTTTCAAACCAAGACTCGCTCTCAGTTCATTAGCTTCTTTGATTTCTAGTTCTTCCTTCGTCATTCCTTCGTCACCATGCTTCGATTTGTCTTTCTTCTCGCTCTTTTCTTTCTTGGATTTCTTGTGTTTTTTATCGGGTGAGTTGGAGCGCGAACGATGTCGACGACGAGGCGAACGAGACTTCGACCTTGATCGGGAATGMCGACGACGAGGCGATCGTGATCGACTACGACTTCGGTGTCTACGATGATGAGGCGAGGGACTTCGGCGTCTTCTTCTCGGGGAAGGACTACAGAAAAGAATATAGGAAACAGGTATAAATTATTTTGGAGTTGGTTAAATTAACATCACAATCAATTCCAACAATACCTTCTTCTTTTTCTTCTTGGAGAGCGTGATCTACTGCGTCTACAAATACAATATTGCAACAAATTCAGAGATGAGAATGTATAAGTTTCCCAGGAGCCCATTACTTGGAGCCTTCCTCTACTGAATAGGTCCATAGAACGGCATTTACCCCTCTTGGTAACTTTAAGGTTTATTTTTCTTTTGTTTAGATGCAAAATATTGTACAAAATATTGTACATTTGTTATATAGAGGTGTCCGTAAAAAAGAAGTGTATCGATGACGTGGTTATCCTTTTCCGAAGAAATTACTGGTCGCCGCGCCTRTAGGAATAGTAATACCTATCTCGCGCGGTTCCAAGTGCCTGCATTGTAGAATCGACTGCGAGAGATACCAGCAATAATGAGAAACATGTAAACTAGAATATCGAAGCATTACCTGTGAGGTGATCTGCTTCGTCGTCGATGTTTATCATGATCTCGATGTCGTCTGTATGAATCCTCTGGTGAACGGCTTCGACGGCGAGGTGGAGTGGGCTCCTACAACAGATGAAATTATAGTAACAAGACTTGTCTAGAATATTCATGAAAATTAAAGGGATACTCAGTGCGCCAACACAAGTGAAAATGGTGGAAACTAGTGTGAGCTAGTGTCAATGACTACTAGTGTCGGTGTTTCTAAGAAACAGTTGTGTAAAAAGATTAAATTTAACACCGTAAAAAAAAGTATGTGAAATAACTTACTGACGTTTCGGATGTTAATCCTTCGACGAATTTCTTTTTTTTTTTCACAACACAAGTGAACAAGAATAAGYGCACAAAGTACATGTAAATATAAAGTGCTACTTTCACGACAAGTCCCTAAATGAAAAACGCCACGTAATTCCAATATATGACTCATTTATGACTTCTAGGAGAAAGGGTTTGGTTGTTGTAGTCATCCCAAAGAAGAAAACAATAAAAGAATGCAGTAAATGTCGTCATTCACTCCAACATTTGTGCCAAAATTCCTAAGAAATTGTATCAAWATCTTATACCTGTACATGTACATTGCTTTGTGATTATAAATGTAGGACAATTAGCGATAACTCTACAAGAATTTAGTGCCTTTTCCAATGGTTTGCCAGTTTTCATCCCTAGTAGTCCTCAGCCAGGTTGTTCAAAGCCAAATTAGTGCTAATCCTGGGTTAACTCTTAGAAAACTTATGGAGTTAAGCCTGGATTAACACTTATCGGGCTTTGAATAACTTGGACTTGACAGAGATTTGGAGCTGACAGGGATTTCTAATAAAAATGAATTTGCTTTCAATAGACATGTAAAACACCTTTTCTTCCTCTTCTTCATCCTCTGATTCTAAATCATCCAAATCATCTTCTAGAAGACTTCTCTAAAATCGTAAAGAATAGAATTGTACCATATTATATTATAGCTATCATAGTACGCGCTCTCTGATTGGTAAAATGTTATAATTGTTTATTTCACCGGTAAAAGCACTGATGCCGCGACAATGCTAAATCATAACCAACCATGTACAGTTATTATATGGAGTCTTTCAACCAATGAAACYGAAGGCTCATTTATCAAGATTATAGTGATTGTGAAAATTAACAAATAAAACAATAAACAATGAATACAATGGCAATGACCAGGCTCAAGATCTTACCCGTGGTTCTAAGTCATTGCTACTTTCTAAAACATTTCGTTTCTACAAAATAAAACACAACAGAATTAGAGGAAATGAATTTGTATCAAATAACATTACTTTGACAAGAAGACACATGTATTATACACAACAAGCAACAATAGAAACAATGGCACTGTCACCTGTATTCTAGGTAAAATAACATCACATTCTCGTTCTTCTCTGAGCAGCTGATCTATGAATTCATCCATGTGAACCAGTTCCATTGCTGTCAAAATAACAAAYRCACACATCAAAACAAAATACATAKCCTGTARMACATGCWGTTGTTTGAAWGATAAYCRYGAGTGCCTCAAACAYGCATGTAATGCCTGCAGCATTAAATTGGACTCATAAAAACACTTCTAGTGCTTCTAATTTCAAACCATTGTATATTAAGCAACTGTTTATCTACTTTAACCTTATGTTTTATTGCTTTCTTCCTTACCCATACTTACATGTACCGCTGTAACATTAGATGACAGGGGACTAACTAGAAAACTTGTTTATAGTGCCTCTGGCTCTTACACAACAAATTCACATATTTTTGGGTTTTTTTTATTTATCTTTTTTCATTGCAAGCATTTTATTTTGCTACTACAAACAAATGAACAATAAGAAAGTTTCAGTTTCTAGCTTTTCAGACATTATTTTATGTACTCATGCTTTCCTTCTTATATTCGTTTTTCATAACTGTAATGAATGAACGCAAGAACAATTGTGCATATAAACTGTAAGGGAGAATGAAAGAGATAGATAAATCACAGACTGAGCTGCAAGTCCAACTGATGTGCATGACAAAGTACATGCTACCAAATAGGCCATATGCATAGAGCCTTGCGCATTTTCATTGTTATTCAGATTTTTAATCCCCTTGGAAATTAATAAAACAATTGGCACTAATTGCATTACAAAAGAAAGTTGGCAAAGCATTGAAAAAAGTTGGCAAAGTAAATGACGCCATAATGCAAATCAGCTATACATACTCATCTACATTGTATCAATATAGAAATCTTCTCTCTGTTACCTCCAGTTTTGTTTTTCTTTTTCAGTTTTCTATAGTCATTGAATAATGGCTCCAGGTAATTATAACAATCCAATGATGTACCAACCAAACGCATGTACATTGCTCCAAGGGCTCTCACATACCTAGATGGAAAAACACAAAAAAATCAGAGAATAATAAGACGCCCCAATGCTATATCTTTATGTAGATTTCAAAAACTCATACTAGGCCAATAGAATGAGCCTATTTGGTCACGTGCATGGACCTTTATATCTGATAAAACACTCCTTACTAGTATTCTTTATATAAAGAATACTAATAAGGGTGACCTTTATCAGATATAAAGGTCCATKACCCTAGCAAAGGTCTCAGGTTTGAAACCTGATCATTGACCAATGCAGGATGTCAACTGATTTCAGTGAACAGCCAAGAGCGCTTCTATCTTACTTTATGTGTATTCAATGTGGGATGACAAGAGTGCTTTGTAAAGTGATTCGCACATGATCAGTTTGCCCCATTTATCTCTGAACATATTTGTACGGCAACTTTTCCAAGAATTTTAACGGATTTGAGTTTCAAATTAGTGTTGGAGGTTTTGAAGCCATTTAAAACACTCTCTCTTGTGTTTTAAACTATACATCACACACATCAGTGTAATACATGCATCACACACATCACATCTCGATACCAAGGGCGCGTTTATCAGAGTATAAACCATGGCTGAGCCTTATTTATTTGTTAAGTAAAACACTTCATAATGTATTTGGCCTATGTATTATACTTATTATAGTCATCATTTTTTTCATTTTTCTTCTGATCTGGGGCCTATTGTACAAAGCGTGAATAAAAGTATAGATCTAACTGTTTTTAAAAGTTTGTATGAAATTTTATCCGCTGGATCATTATTTAAATAATAATTTATAATCCAGTGGATAGCACAATCCACCCTTTGTACAAACTGCCTGAGGATATTAAATTCACTACCATGAAACAAGTATACATTCTTGCAGGGCAACGGAATACAAGTACATGTAATTGATGTAGTCATAATTTTATGAACAATAAATTATACATAAAATTGAAGTGAAGTGAAAAAGACATGTATAAACACAGCTTGAATTTCAGCAAATCATTCAAATAATTAAAATTTTCTGCATGTCAAGCTTTACTTGTATTCTTATTCATATAATTTATAGATTCTTTGCAGTTCATGGGAATGCTGGAGGACAAAACAATGGTTTCTAGTTCCCAAGAGGGCAACAATCTTTTGTTTTGTCCTCCAGATGAAGTTTTCTTGGCGTCAAATGCAATGATTCCATATTCCATTAATGAAACGTTTAATAATTACAAAAGTATCTAGCTTACAATAGAAAGTGCATTAATCTAGATCCCATTATACTCATAGTGCTTACTTGTAGTCATCATTCTTGATAAACTCTACAATGATTTCCTTCTCAGGCTGTATCTGCAGCATTTTCAGCAATAAGCATAGGAATGGAGTAGGTTTTATATTACCACCAAACGTCCCTCCAATATGATCAAGCTCCATGGCTTTATCAACTAACAATTCAGCTGGAAAGACAAAAACATTGTTGCTGAAGTTACTGTTAGGAAACAACGTTAATAATGCAATGATTCACCCCGATAACATCGTTTAATTAGAACCTAAACTTAAAGCTATACATGTTGTAAAGCTACAGACAAACACATGAATACAAAGTGAGTTTACACTTGGACGAGACCTCTCAGTATACACTGGGCTTTACAATGTCGCTAAGCTGACATCCAAAGCTGAAATTTGCAGTTAAAGGTTACAATTAAAAAGTTTCACCTTTTTTCTCTCTAGATGTTTACCCAAGCTAGTTACGTTCAACACGCGAAACGTTTTGCAGAAACTTAAAGTTAACTTACTTAACTTAATATAAGCTTACATGTAGCTACCTTAACTCAATAATGAGAGAAATCATCTTGATGCAACTCCAAATTTAAAGACGTCATGTAGTCGTTTTAACATACCTGTAAGAGCAAAGCATTGCTCTTTCCAAAATTTGCTTTCATAGATACGGGATCGAGTAATTTTCTCTACTAAATACTGTGGATTAGTTCCTTTCACTGTCCTTGCGTCTGACACCGTTCTGTTCGCCATGTTGGATTTGGTGAACCCACAATTCAGTTCGAGAATTAACACAGGCAGCCCAATCATTTATTTGAATCACTATTCTTCTGATATATTGTTCCTCAATTCAATTTGATAAAATGAAATGAAAAAAAGAAAAAATATGATCAGAGGAAAATTAGAGGATGGGTGTAAATAACTGAACAAG